AGATGTATTGGTAGGGAAACCAACCTTCCCAATTTGCTGAGAATGTTCCTACCTTATACCTATTATCCCAGCGTAGTGTTAACAGTACCTCTTTTATTATCAAAGAAACTAAGTTTGGGAGATGCAGGATTTGGTCCCTTGGTGAGTGACATCTGAGAGGTTACTAGAGTTACCTGTTAAAATTTGTCTAGTCCACACAAAAGGACCACAACAAAGATTAAACAGCCATCTTCTGAGGGGCATGACTGAGGAAGCATGCTGGAGAGCAGCAAGGAGGTGAGGAGACCTGCTGCAGTGGAAAAGCCTAGAGAGCAGAGAGAGTTATCTTGCCTGTCCCACATGTATCAGCTCAGAATCAAGAAGGACATCTCTTTCATGGGGAAACGGTAGGCTGGAGAGCCCCAGTGGTCTACATCACCACTGCAGGTGACTATGCCAGACACACACGCATCTCTCACAGTCCACGTTGGACAGCTCCCATCTCCTGTGACCTGAGCTCCCATGGCCCAGTGCTCTCTTGAAACTGGATTAAAAGAACAATTGTTTATTCTTGCCACCTGTGGCTTGCTTGGGAATCAACTGATCTAGGCTGTGTTTGGTTGACCTCGGCCCCACAATACACCTGGGATTAAGTTCAGCTCAAGATATCGCTCATCCTCCTTGAAGGACCCAGGGCTTTTGTTCCCAGGGAAATTAGAGCTGGTAAAACCAAGTGTGCAGTTCTAATTCAGGCCGTCCCGTGCTAGCTCCACTGACATCCCAGTGGCCTGATCACATGATCAAGCCTTTCAGTGAAGCAGGAGAACATACCCTCACACTTGACATGAACTGCACGAACACATGACAAAAGGTATGAGTAGAAGGAGGGATGAAAGCTTGGAGACAGTAAGGATCATGCACATCAACCATGCATCTTGTCATTCTAGTTGCCTCATTCATTTTTCCCCTTTATTTTGAAAAGTGCTTCGACTCAGGACTTAAGAGTGTATGTTTAAAAATTGTTCAGTTTACATAATATCTGAAACTGATTCCTTGTCGATTCACCTGTGCCCAAAAGGAGTTTGCATTTTAAAATCTGGAATTTTGACAGAAGCAAACTTAAGACTTGAAAAATATTTTAAGATGTGGATATAGCTAATTGATCTCAGCAAAAAGGCCAGGACAGGAAGGCAGGATCCAAGGGTGAACAATGGGGCCTGTCTAAACTCGGGACAATAACTAGGACTCACTCTAGACAAAGGTTCCAAATTTAGGTTCTGCTATAGTTTGGATCTGAAATGTCTCCCAAAAGTCTGTGTGTCAAAGGTTTGGTCACCAACCTGTGGAAGTGCTAGGAGATGGTGGAACCTTCCGGAGGTGGGGCCTAGGAGAAGAAAGGTCATTGGGAGACATACTCTTGAAGGAAAAATTGGGACCAGCCTCTCCCTTTCTCCTTGCACTACCTCCCTCCCCCGACTTCCTGACTGGCATGACATGAGCAGTGTCCTCTGCCATGTACTCCTGCCATGATGTGCTGCTTCACTAGAGTCCAAAGGCAATGGCAGCCAAGTGACCCTGGACAGAAACCTCTGAAACTGTGAGCCCAAATAAACCTTTCCTCCTTTTGTGTTGTTTGTTTCAAGTATTTTGTCACAGCAATGGAAAACTGACTAACACAGGTTACAAAGGATTTCTTGGAGTGTTTGGTGAAAATACAAATTCTTAGGTTCAATGCCAGAAACTCTGATTCAGTGGGTCTAGAATAGGTCATGAAATGCTGAACAAAATATAGGGACTACATATAGCATGGTCAGCATATGGTACCTACTAGCTCCAGATGTGGGACTGGTTCTACATTTAAGGGTAAATAATGGCATAACCCTGAGCAGGGGTTACCTGAGTCTCCATTTCCATTTGGGAAAACATCAGTGCATTGTTCCCCCTCTAACTTTTGGGTATGTTAGCTATTTCCTCCCTCTCCAGTATGACTCAGTAGATATTACCTTGTTAGAGTGTTGGGGTGCAGGAAAGAGACGAGAATTTGTTTCAGAATGTTTGCAAAAGGAAAGACATGTTATTTAGATTCTGCCATTCAAAATAGGGTTATGCAGAAATATCGTTGCTATGAAAGGATTGCATTTTTCTTTATTCACTCTGGCACAAACCCTCTTCTACACCTCAGGTAACAGAAGGGAAGCCAGATATGGAAGTTTCAAGTCATAAGAATTCTCCTATCATTTAGAAAGATAGCACTTCTGCTAATGGCAGCCAGGGTGAAAGGCTTAGGGCTCTATAATTGAATGAGGATGTAATAGGAAAAATAAAATAAAACCCCAGCCATCTTCAGCTGAGGGGGATTGTAGAAAGAAGGAAAGCAAGAAAGAGAAGAGGGCAAAGGGAGTTGAGGACAGAGAAGGGCACAGTATATTGGGCAGGGTATTGCTCTCCCTTCTCCCCGTTACCACCATGATGCAAGCTTTATCACATTGCTCTGTTCTAGCCTCAGAGGAATGAGGGTAGAACAGAGGGCAGGTTCAAGGGATGTGAGGTGGAATCCAGGCAGCAATACTTTTTTTTAACAGATTTCCTGGTGATTTTTTTTTTCTTTTTTCCCTGTGCTGAGGATTGAACTCATACCCTTGCACATTGAATTTTTTTTTTAATGCATTCACCAACTTGATACCTGACATAGTTATAGAATGGGGAAAGCCTTTGGGACTTTTACTTCTGCTCCTGCTGGCTTCCCTAGTAGTGTTCTGTGAACTTCATCGTCGTGTTGACAGAAATGAAACTAAAACGAACGAACTCCACCCCTGTGGTTTTTGTTTCCTCGTAGTAGCCTGCTGCTGCCTGGCTGACATGGGAAGATCAGACCCTCACAGGATCATGGCCATGATGCAGACCGTGGCGGGCTCCAGTCCCGGGCAGTCCTGCGTGCTGATTCTGATCTTCACAGTGCTCCTGCAGTCCCTGTGTGTGGCTGTGACTTACATCTACTTCACCAATGAGCTGAAGCAGGTCAGTAAAAAAGGCAAATCTCAGCAACTGTCAGGTGGCCCTCCTCTCTGCCTCTCAGCTCACTGCTCCTTGAAAACTTTACTATGGAAGAAAATCTCTTTCTGTGTGCAGATTCTAACTGCTAATCTTTATCATTCCCAAGGATTTCATGGAGGTGTAGGTTCAGCAGACTGTGCAAAAACAAGCTCAGTTACAGAACTGGCTCTACCAGTTACTAGCAGATGCAGGGAACAAAACTCCTAAGGGTTTTTGTTGTTGTTGTCTAGTTTTATATGCATTTGCTTTTTTAAAATTGATACCATTCTGCAGTGCTTCCTGCGAAATGCTTGAATTCCTGTGGGTGAGGGCATCAGAGCAGAGGCTGCATCTGCTTCTGACACCTCTGCAGCCTGGCATATGGCTCCCATGCAGGTGCTCTCTAAATACAGGCTATATAAGTGAACAACCATCACAAACATGGTGGGAGCCACTAAGAGACAGGCAGCAAAAAGAGAGTTGGGGCTCAACCTAAACCCAACAACTAAACCCTTAATGAGGTTCCAGCTGAGGTTAATTCCAGTGGACCATAGACAGACATGGGAAAACATTCAGAGGTGAGCCTTGCACAAATACCTATGTACTGTTTGCCTATGCGCAGATTTCATGCCAGCCTCTCTCTCCCACTCCTTTTGTTGTTGTTGTTGTTTAATATTTTAAGTTAGTAGGTAGAATTTCTTCACATAGACAAGCCAGACTTTTAAAAGTTAGCAGGTAGAATAATCTGCATCTGAGCTAAAATCAGAACCAATGTCAGGTTTCTCATTACTCCAAGAACAAGTGAGGAGTGGAGGAAAACTTCCTTGAAGTGCATTTTGGCTTCAGAACTATGGCATTTCTGTGTTGACAATAACGAGTGTGAATACAAAGGACTGGCTTTCTGCCTACCACGGTACACAGATGTGTCCTGGGTAAAGTCTGTAACAGAGAAACTAATTGACTCAGTATTTAACTATTCATGAGAAAATAGTTGAAAATACAAATGTCACTTTATGCTCAGGATAGTCCAGGTGAAAAACAGGTGTGAATATAAAGAAAAAGACTTAGTGTCACTTTAGTTTATGATTTTTCAACTATCTAAAACTTTTGAAACTGTGAATGTAAAATAAACCAACCATAAATGCCAACTCAAATAAACCAAGTCAGTTTTTAATTTCTCATGTATATTTTGACAAATTCTATATTATATAATAGAGAATTGAGAGCTGCATGAAATTTTGGATACCTCCCCCCCAGTCCCATCCTCATTTTATAGATGAGGAAAGCAGGTCCCCCCCACACACACACACACACGAGATATGTATTACCCAAGCTTACACGGGACGAGCTAGCACCAGGACTGTGAATGCCTAACTAATGCTCTTCCTTCCACAGCAGCATACCCATGGTCAAAACTGTGCAGCTCATGATGTACATCCTGCAACACCAAATCTGCTGGTGACTAGGAAATGCAAGGCTGGGTCCCAGAAAAATATAAATGCATAAAAGCTATAGAGTGCTTTCTAATTGTCTGTTAGGGAAATGCAGTTTGTATACCCTATGGAGTGTAAATTTGGTTATCTCAGTTGGTTGGGAATTTTTCCTTTGGAAATGAAAGAAGTAGATTCTTTTTTGTAAGTCATTATGAAAATTATGTTGACCATTTGTGAGAAATAGAAAATCTGGTGGTCCATTTTCAGAATACAGTATTTAGCCTTAAATGTAAGATTGAGATATAAGAAATGCCTACAGAGGGGAAATAGAGCAGAATGGAAAGTTACACAATAGCACCTTAGGCTATGGATTTCTTGAAAAAACCCTTTCCTTTGCCCGCTCCAATTTTAAAATTAGCCAATTGCAGAGATTGTAACCCCAGGCTCTTCCTATCAGAGCAAGGGGCAGTATTGCACTGGGGATAAAAACAGGTAGTCAGCTCACTCATGTGCACTTGCTTGGCAGACTTTGTTCAGTAGCACACCCTTCTGCAGAACATTTTGCCTTATGAAGCTACTTCTGAATATGTGTCTGATTCCTCATGACACCCTAGGATTTCTAACATATTAGATGACCTGTAAAGAAGGCCTTATTGGAGGGCATGTTGAAGAGTTTGTGTATTTCTAGGAAAATAGATATTACCATAATCATACTTTTAGTTTTAAGTCCACATAAGAGACTGGAAAGCTGCTACCCATGTTTATAGCAGCCCGATTCACAATAGTCAAACTATGGAAACAGTCTAGGTATCCATCAATCGGTAAATGAATACAGAATATGTGGTACACAGACACAATGGAGTTTTATTTAGCCATAAATAAGAAGGAAATTATGTCATTTGCAGGATAAATAGAACTTGAGAGTTAAGTAAAATGAACCAGAAGGTCAAGGGTCATGTTTTCTCTCATAGAAGCTAGAGAGAGGAAAAAAGGAAAAGAAAGATGAGGGGTACCTCATGAAAATTGAAGGAAGAGCATTAAAAGTAGAAAAAGCACAAGGGAGAAGGAGAGGGAAAAGAGAAATACTGAGGAATGATATTTGCCAAATTGTATTGTTATATTTGTGTGCGTGCATGAATCCCATCATTATGTATAATTATAATGCACCAATAAAAAATATTGGAAAAAAGAGACCAGAATGCTGCTACGTATACTGATCTGAAGCCAGTATTTGAAGCCCTTTGTTAAATTTATAGTATAAAAAGAGTGAAACTCTTTCTCCATAAACAAGCGGCTCTATCAGTTATACACATCATAAATTGATCTGCTTATTTAAGACTGAATGGATCCTCTGCTGAGCTGATTTATGCAGTTGCCTGTGTATAAAATCAAGTTTTTAAAACTTCTACTTAAAATGGAAATTTCAAGTAAAGCTTAACATCTCCCACTTATGCATATTTTTCTTGACTGCATAGTTACATGTGCAAACACATGCATAAGAATTAATTGAGAGTAGCACTATAAAAGAAGAATTAACAGAGATTGAATAATTATTGCATGCCAGAAACTTTGATAACTATGTCATACTCATAACCATCTTATAAAAATCAGTATAATTATACCATTTTATAAGTGAACAAACTAAGGCTTAGGGATATTAGGTAATTTTTTTTCAAGATGACAAAGTTAGTAGAAGATAAAGCCTAACTTTTGAAACTGGCTATTAAGCAAGTGCTCAATAAATTTAGCCATAGTAATTTCTGTTGAAAGATTTTTTTGAAGGTATCACCATCTTCATCAGGAATTTTTCCAAGGGGAAATAAATCTGAATTTTCTTGAGAATCTGTGCAGAATTTGAAAACGCATATTCTGCATAAGCAGCAATTTCCTAAGACAGATCACAGGTTTCTACCTTTGAGAATTTGCAGAAGATTCAGTAAGCAAGGTCTATAGGATGGCGCATGTGTCAAAGAAGGCCCCGTAACATTGACTTGGACCATCACAAGAAGCCTGTAGACCAGTGAGTAGGAGGCATGTATGGAAACTCCAAAGTCTGTGTCATTCTGTGAAAGTTTCATGGCAAGGAAATGGCCCATCACTCTGACATCATAGACGGGGGAGGGAAAAAAGGATCCTTCTCTATAGATCCCTGTGGGAAGCCATTCTCACATGTGATTGGGCACCTCCCGGATTGGGTGTGAGGCGCTCTGGCCAAACTGTGTCGGAGCTATCCCCACCCTCTCCAGGTGCGAGAGCCTGTCCGTGTGGGGGTGTGACTGACCACTGACCCTGAGACCAATCACTGACCCTGACCTTGGAATGCTGCCCCCCTCGACCTTCACTGGATGGAATTTTCCCCTGAATTTCTTGTTCCCCAATAAAAGGCCACTCCCTGGCGTGCTCTCTCTCTCTCCTCTAGTCCTAAATAAGCCTTGCTGCCCCACCGAGTGGTTCGAGGTGAGAGCCAGAGGTGAGAGCCGTCTGGGACCTGGTCATAGGAAAAGGTAACTGAGTCTGTGTGTGTTTATTTTGTTCTCACTAGTTAACTTCTATGCCACGAACCTCTTTAATGAAACCAGTGTGCTGGTCGCCTGGTGGAGATCCCCATAAATGATTCTTTATGCTATTTGTGGTTTGCCAAAAATGATGATCAGAGACTAATGTTTGAGGAGCAGGGAGGTCCAAAGCTGTCAACTTAAAATCTCTGTGACAGCACAGGAATCTACCTTCCTGATCTTAAGCCCCACCAGGACTGGTTGGCCCTGGCCTAGGCAGCTGCCATGTTGTGACTGCACCAAAGCAGTCACCATGGAAATCCACTTCTCAGAACCAAGGGCTTCTGGAGCTAAAGAACAGGAATTGGTACAAAGCTGTGCCTCCAGGGGCCACAGGAATGAAACCTGAACTCCTGCATCCCCCAGCCACAACACCCACATGTGGTTATCTAAAGAACAGTCCAGTCTGCAGTGAGCTGCAGGAAGCTCATACTTTGAGACAGAAAGGATGTGGGAGGGAAAAGGAGGGCAAGAGACATCTGATTAATCCTTGTTGGACTCACCACAGCACAAACTTACCACTCAGTCACTAGAACAGGCCAAGACCTGCAAAAGTACAACCAAACATCATGATACAAGGAATACATGAGGATGAGGAAGGTGGTGAAGCATCCTCTCTGGATTTTTTTTTTCAAAATCCAATATTTATGTATAAAAATGTCTAGAAAGACAAAAACCAACATGTTGATAAGTATGCTCTCTAGATAGGAGGGTAAGAGGTGCCCTCCATTTTATTTTTCAGGATATTATACATTTTCTATAGTGAATCTCATAAGAGAATATATGCTACCATGTGTGGTTTTCATGCAAATTTAAAGAATGTGATATTTGTGTATAGTCTTTGGTAGGACACTTGGGGATTGAACCCAGAGGTAATCTACCACTAAGCTATAGCCCTAGTCCTTCTTTTTTTTTTTTTTAATTGCTGAGGCTTGCCTCAATCTTTCAATGCTGCTGCCTCCACTCTCCAAGTTGCTGGGTTTACAGGTGTGCATTGCCATGCCCAATTTGGATATTAAGAGAAAACAACTATATGCAAAAATTGTATACAGGCAGTCTGATAACCCTGTAAACAAGAGAGAGCATCCAAAGGTTAACTATGGGGTGGGGTTGTGGATGTTTTTAGTGTTTGCCTGTTTGTTCTGTTTTATTTATTTTTACTTTGGGGGAGTATTTTGTTTTCCATTTATACTTTCAAAACATGTTCTTTACTTTTCTATGTTTCTCTGGCTGCCAGTGTATTTTGCTAGTGTCTAGGCTGCATTTACTTTTGAGCCATAAGTAACACGAGCTTGTCAATCTCCCAGGACCTTACTCAGTTTTCACAGTTCCCCCTTCCACCTCCTGACAGATTTTCTAGAAAACCCAAGAGGTATCACAGGCACTCACTCACACTTGGCATTAGCCTGAACTGGCCTCTGCTGTTTGGGTTGTATTTCCACCCTTCTCAAATTCTACTTAGGGTCATAGGTTGCTGCTAACCCCTGTCAGGATGCTGGCCTGACCCAGAGGCAGCCAACTCTGCCCCTCCCTGTCTGTCAACACTCTTTCCTGTTGAAATAGCCTGCAGTTTCTGGGAAGTAAGGAGCAAAGTGCTCCCTCCCTTCTTGTCAGGCACACCTTTGTACACCAACAAGTTACCAATGTTTGTGAGCCTGCTGATTGGGTTTCATAAAACCAAAGCCTAGCCGAACTTCTTCAAAACGGCTGGCTGCAATGAGACAGTGACCAGAAAAATTTGCTTTTCCTATAACCGTCTTCATCCTGTAGCTCATTCCAGCTCTTCCCTCTTCCTCCCTGATCCCTGTCCCCCATTTGCTAGACATGGTCTCCTGCTTCTGTAACCGAAAGCTTGGTCCTCGTCCCTGATGTCAATATAATAAGGAGGACACAGTTTTGAGAAAATGGAAAAAGAAATTTTATTGCTGTACCAGAGTCTGTGAATCTGACCAGAGGGCTTTTAAAGAGGTAATTCAAAAGCTGCATTTCAGGCGTGCTTGGTTGGGGGGCTATAATCTACTTGTGGCCCTGAGAAGTAGCCATTTCTTAGATCTTCTGAGACCATCCTGAAGTCTGAATTAGTTTATTCCTGTGGTATGGGTTTGCTCAAGGACAGATAACAGCCTAGGATGGGGAAAAGGGTAATCTTGCTTCTCCCAACGTTAGGGTCATTGAGAGGAAGAGGAAGAAGAGAAATCGGGGGAAAATGTCAGTTTTAAAATCAGCCACAGTAGCAGAGCAGCAAAAGTCATGTCCAAAGCACAAAGTGGTCCCCTGTTAATGCTTCTGAGCCATATGTGACCGAATTCCTTCTCTGAAAGGCTATTCAACTCCTAAGGTATTTGGAGAGGCAACTTGTTGTTCCCAATAGAGGTGTATGGGTTGGGCAGGTGTGAGGTAGGCTGCCTAATTCCTTCGACAGACACATTCCACCACTCAGGTGGGTCCAGGTGGCCATCCTCAACTGCATTTATGAGATTCTTCTGCTCTTTTGTTGTTGTTGTTTGTGATTATTTCATTGGCTACTATTGTGTATTAAGTAAGGTAACCAAAAACACCTTTATTTTTTTACAAGTTCCTTTTTTCTTTTTCCAAGATAATCATGATTAACTTTAAAAAAATGGTTATACAACACATCTTCAAAGCATTTCCCTATAACAGGAAACTTGAGAAAATCCAAAAGATTAAAACAATTCTATTGTGCTGTCATTATATAACAAAACTGAAACTAGCATAAGTCAAGGAAATTTCATTCCTACTTCAGGTTCTTCTCCTCCAGGAACCAATATTATTATTTCCTTTAGCAAAATCTGAGCTAATATTGAGTGATCCTTGTTCCTTCTGGTGTGATTCCAGCACAGTGTTGACAAAGTCATTAAATCCAAGAAGTGTACCCATCATTTCCTTATTACTTTTGATCACAATGTAATTTTTTTAAGAGAGAGAGAGAGAGAGAGAATTTTTAATAATTATTTGTCAGTTTTCGGTGGACACAACATCTTCATTTTATTTTTAAGTGCTGCTGAGGATCAAACCCAGCACCCCGCCCATACCAGGCAAGCGCGTTACCACTTGAGTCACATCCCCAGACCACAATGTAAATTTTTGACCCTGCACACCTGTCCACAAGCTCTAGGAGCAACAGCTATGATGGTTGAGTTGGTCATAGCATTAACCACCATGACTAAGCTGGAAGTGGCGAGCCCAAAGTTCTATTCTTAGAGTTTTTTTTTTTAAAAAAAAAAAAGAAAGAAAGAAAGAAAGAAAGACAGGAGGCTGAGGCAGGAGGATCACAGGTTCAAGGCCAGCCTCAGCAACTTAGTGAAGCCCTAAGCAAAAGGGCTCAAAATAATAAATTAAAAGGAATGGGCATGTGGCTCAGTGGTTAAGCCCTCCTGGGTTCAATCCCTGGTACCAAAATATAAAATAAAATAAAAATAAAGAAAGAAAATTGAAAAAATAAACGTTTGTTTAAAAGTAAAGTGTTCTGTGCTAGGGAATGTGGAAGGAATTTATTAACTCAAATCTGTACCTTTACACTTGAGCGACCTTTATCAAAAATCCAAGAGGTACATGGCTGAGTCATAAACAGGAAGTTTTGCTTAAAATGAGATTGTTTTATGCATAAATTAAAAGATTGTCATTAAATTTGATTGCTCCTTCAAGCATTGCAGTAAACTAACTTCAAATAACAGATAAAAATAATTATTTTCCCATTTATTTCCCCAGATAAAGGTAACTCAACTAATTTTTTACATGGAAATAACATCTCTTAAATTTCAATTGTTAGGAAAATAAAATCAAAAGGGAAAGAAGGAAATAAAAAGAAAAACTTCTGTTTTTCTTAATCAGATAACAGCCTGGAATGTTCTGGATGGTTGGTGTGTGTGTGTATGTGTGTATGTGTGTGTGTGTGTGTGTGTGTGTGTGTGTGTGTGTGTGTGAGTGACATCTAGCAAGGATTTGTTGACAAGGGTGAGGACTTTGTTGACAATGATCGGCTGTATAAATATTTACTCTCAATCAGAAGAAACAGCAAAACTTCAGATGGTATTTCAAGTCTCTGCAGACAAGTCCCTCACTAATGTAAACATCTAATGAGGCACCATGGAGATTTCTGGAACAGGTCCAGACAGTGCCATCTAGACTAGCAGAAATCACATCAAGAACAGAATCTCCTCAGCCACCTGGGTTCTAATTAAGAAAAAGGGGATTGCCCATACATCAAAGGGTCTAATTTTTATTTAGGATGCTGGGATTTGAACTGACCTCCCCACCTATTCTGTATCTAGGTGGCTTTCCAAGTTTAGAATGAGATCCAACCACAACAGAGCTGGAAGGGACCCGAGACATCACCATGATCAAAGCTCTGCTTAGCAGCACCTAGGGAAGAGAGGAAGCACGGTGGAGAGACAACACAGCTGCTTAAAGATGAGGTCAGGGACGGCACCAGGACCCAGGATGTCTGATATGTGTCACAACCTTTCCCCCTATATTCAACTGCTTGCTTTTAGCCAAAGAGCAAAGGACAGCAGGCCTACTTTTATCCAAGGTGCTGTAACTTCTCTGAATCCGCCATCAGTTTCCATTGTTTTAACTTCCAGTTGGAGAAAGGCAGAAAGCTGTGGTGTATAACATTGTGGTATATTCCATTTCATCCCAGATGCAGGACAAGTACTTCCAAGGTGTCATTGCCTGTTTCTTAAAGGAAGATGACCGATTTTGGGACCCCACTGATGAAGATTCTATGAACAGCCCCTGCTGGCAAGGGAAGTGGCAACTCCGCCAGTTTGTCAGGAAGGTAGGTAACCTCCCTCACAGGTGCACAAGGTCAGAGGAGGAGGAATCCTTAAGCTATCAAGACTAGACTCTGCATTTTGCAAAAGAGGAAACTGAGGCCCAGAGTGTTTAAGTGATTTTTCCCCAGATTCACAGAACTAGGAAACACTGGCATAGCACAAAATGATAGGTCCTGGCTGATTTGTGGTACACCCCAGAGCCTCCTCCTCTAGTCTAAACTTTTAATCTCACTTGTGGAAACTGAGGCACAGACAAGAAAATATGTTCAAGGTCTTGCTGTGTGGTGTGATTTTTTTTTTTTTGGTCTTCATTCAGAAGATAAAGGAAGCCAAATAATGATGTTTTATATGCTTCCCACATTATTGCTCTCTAGAATTAAATACATATTTATTTATGCATGCACACAGTGATGAAGAAAGAAAGGAAGAGGGAAAAAGAGATACTTTAAGAACCAAAGGTGAAGATATCTCAGTTCACAGTTAAGTGACAAATTACAAAAATATACCTATTTATATAAGTTGCTTAAGAGACCTCTAGCAGAAATATTGTGTTAGCTAATAGTTAATTTTACTAAATGTGATTGATTTTATTTTTGGCAATGTGACTTCGATTGAATCAATTTCTTCCCTGGCTGCTCCCTTCTCTGTAAGATGACATTTAAAAATATTTGCTGAAAACATCAGATGAGAGCACAAATATCAAAACAAGCCCATGTATGCTATCATTGTTTAAAGACATACTGGGGAATTCCCAGGGTAGGAGGAGGATGTGTTTTAGACATGTTTGTAAAGTCCATTGTCTGGTGTACACTATCTAGGTGGGTTTCCAACTGTAGAATAAGATCCACACCACGTCAGAGCTGGAAGGGACCTCAGACAACATCACATGCAAAGCTCTGATTGGGAGCACAGGAGAAGAGAGGAAGCAGCGTGTTGAGAGACAAAGTCAAGTTCAGACATCACCACGATGCTATTTCCACAGGAAATGAAATTGCATCTCCACCTGGGTGGCCTAGGAACGCACCTGCTCTGTGCTCACCCTAGAAATGTGGCCTTGGCTGCCCCTCCCCCGGCAGTAGTACTGAGCAGCTGTGATTCCTTCACTTCAAACAGCAATGACTGCGGGGGCAGGGGCGGGCAAAAGGTAGAAAAAGCACCAGCTGTGGAAGGCTCCAGAGGAACCTCAGAAATGGAATTCCAAAGTCCCTGGGATCTGGAGGCTGGAGGGCAGGACGAAACCCAGCAACAGGGAGAGTTGCAGAACTGTGGTAGACACCTGGAGACTGAGGAGTCTTCTGGAATGGGGAGCAGCAGTGGGGAGACAAGAGAATTTACATGTGGGTTTCTGCAACTCTCCCTCTCCCCTTCTTAGATTCTGATACCAACTAGAGTAGACAGAAGCTGGAGGAGGACATGGAAGGTGGGGGCCAGAGTGGGGAAACAACTGCCCCTTATATCAGATGCATCACAACGGTTAAACATTTTATTTCCAGTAAGCAGCCAATGCCCATTTTGTGCATTATCTCATTGAATCCTTACCAGCAGCTCTCTGAGAAAGAAATCATGGTTCTATGTATATATAAAATCAAAATTTCATGCACACACACACACACATAGATATTGTTTTGTGTTTTATTTGCTTTTGCTTTGCTTTTTGGTACCAGGGATTGAATCCAGAGGAGTGTAACCACTGAGCAACATCCCCAGCCTTTTTTTTTTTTTTTTGAGACAGGGTCTAGCTAAATTGCTTTGGACCTCACTAGGTTACTGAGGCTGCCTCAGCCTCTGGAGCTGCTGGAATTACAGGTGTGCACCCTTGCACTGGGCCATATATATTTTTAAATAGATAAAGAAATTGAAGTTCGGATCAGCAAAGTAACTTGAGCAGACTCCCAGAACTAGTATTGGCAAGATTGGACTCAGGCTATGCAGCGACACTTGCAGTCCCTCATTTTGTTTCCCACACTGCGAGGCTGACCTTTCTCCCCTTCACTTGCTTCCCTCCCTCCTTCCCTTCCCTTCTGTCCCAGAATAAGAGAAGGAAAGAGCAAGAGTGAAAGAGAGAGACAAACAGAAACAGAGAGAGAGAGAGAGAATGCTCACTTCCCCTCATTCCCATCCCTACACCAGAGCCCACAGGACTGACTCCTAGCCCTATCCGGGTTAGGGCTGGAGGCAGAGGGAGAAGCACAGAGCCTCTGCTTTGGGGTGGGGGTACAGAGGAGGCAGGTTCCAGCAATTCCAAAATTAATGACAGTGATGAGGAAAGGAAGGCAGGGATGGCCCAAGCCCCTCAGGAGTGACTGAGCTGAATGAAGGGGGTCCAGAAGCCATGAGTGAGCCTAGCTGGGTTTTGCTTGTTAAATACAAAGGTTCAATTTTCACTTTCTTGCTGTTTTTCCCCATTGGTTAGCACAAAGAGGCAGCTTTACTAGCTGTTTAGTGAAACCTATGGCAAATCAGCATGATATCTTTATGTACAGCATATCTTGACCACGTTTTCAGAAACGAGAGAATGACATGGTATTGCCAGGCCATACCCTGGTGGGTGTGAATGTCTGTGGGCATCATGAGAGAGAAGTATTCATTACATTTTAAGATTTGGATCTGTCCAATAATTTCAAGTTGCTGGACTCTGTCATGCCGTGTTTTTATACACACACATGTGCCCCCCCAATAGAAAGTGATATGACATGATTATCACATGGGGCCTCATGGAGGCCTGGGGGACTTTAGGCTGTCCTGACTTGGCAGATGGCCTCTTTCCTCATGCACTGTTCCAAGTGTGACCTTTCAAAGACTTCATCCAGAAACAGAACTTTCTTGGGCAGAAGACCTTCCCTTCATCATTGCATAGGGACCACTATCTCATTATTCATCCCTGCCCTCGGCCCTCCCCATACAAACACTGAGTTCAATCAACAACTTAAAGCTAAGTTGGTATCTTATATAGAAATGTCCTTTTAGACACCAGCAAGAAGAGACATAGGCATATTCTATAGCGGGTGAAAACTTGTAGAGAATTAACAAGCTTTATTCAATACTATTTGCAGATGATTTTGAGAACCTATGAGGAAACCATTCCTACAGTTGAAGGTAGTAATTTTTTTTTGTTGTTGTTCTTCAAATTTGTCAAATTCATGACAAGGTAAATACCTTTCTGTTCTCCTCTTTGCTCCCATCTGCCCACCCACCTCTGGCCTGCTGCCCAGTGTCTCAAGCCACTTACTGACTCTATTTTAATCTTTGCATCAATAGCTGGAAAGTTCAGAACCAAATCTGTGGCCTACCTATAGCCAGAACTTTACTTCCTCTCAATTTTGTTTTTCCCATATGAATTTCCTTTTCACCTCAATTTCTTCACTTAACTGGTTTTTACCTTATGTTTTAAATAAGCCACCTTAAATCTTTTCTGAAACCTGGCAGGAAGTGAAGTAGATAAGATTCCCCCAAAGTTACCCATCTTCTCTGCATCTGACCATGAGCAAAAGCCCCTCCTGCATCCTGCCTCCCCTGAACATCCTTCTAGCCAACCGCAATCTTCATCCTGTGGTCTACCTTCCTGTTCATGATCAGCAGCCTTCTCTTGACCCAGCACTGTGGTAGCACATTCCCCAGCACTGTGGTAGCCCAGGCCAACTTCTTTACCCTTCCATCTGTCATCTTCCATCCCGGGCTCCTCCCTCTTCATCATGGATCATCTAACTGTCGCCTCTTTACAGAGGATTTTCCTCGCACCTGTCTAAGTAAGGTTCCCTACACTGTTATTTCTATCACACTCACCTTGTCCATCTCTTCTATTTTTATGTATTTTAAAACTACTTGATGTCTGCTTCCCTACTGGGTTCAAGATCTGTAAAGACAGAATACATTTCTGTTTTCTTACCTCTCTATACCCTGCACCTAACTGTACACCTCAGGCCTAGTGATTCTGACTTCCCACCCAGCCCCTTTATTGTACTACTTTAAGTCCGTGTGTGTGTGTGTGTGTGTGTGTGTGTGTGTTGTTATTGTTGTTGTTGTTGAGGTAAATTCACAAAGCACACAGTTAACCATTTAAAAGTGGACCATTTAGTGTATTCACAGTGTGCCAACACCACCTCTCTATCCAAAATGTTCTTTCATCGTAGTTTTGGAATGAATAAATGAACATGTTGATAAAATGACTGAATTAAATTTGCAACTTCTTTGCATTTGTCTCACCATGTCCCCATTTTTCCATACGACCGGCCATACATGACTCAACACATATGCTAGCAATCTGGTGGAGAAGAAACTGTTTCTTAACCTCACCATCATGTGAAAAGTCTCATTTTTCTTTATTAACTATGAATGACAAGGCCTGGTCCCAGGATCTAAGCATTCTTTCTGATCATCTCCCCAAAGGTAAAAGCAGTTGTCAGCATGTTGGACATGCCACCAGTTCTGATAAGGCTCACTGGATCCATGGGCTATAATAGGTGCACTACTCTTTTTAGTGTTGGAACAGTATTCTTTTTATTCACCCCAGTAAAGCATCCCTCCCTTCCCACCTTCGATGGATGGCATTGCATTTTCCTTTTGCACAATCTTCCTTTTCTTGTAAGGTTCTAAACCATGTACTTTCACTATGAATCACTAGGTGCTCTGCATGCCCATATGTATTGGTGACACCCAAATACACATATAAGCAAGTTTTCTCCTCTAGGAGATATTTGTTATAACCAGAAGGAAATTTCCTCTCTTAAAATTTCCTCTTTTAAAATTTGTTTTCAAATCTTTTTTTTCCCATATCCTTGCAATGACCTCAAATGCAAATCGAATTCAGATACTGAATATTTAAAAACATTGTGTTAAGGGTTAGGGGCAGGCAAGGCATCATGAATTATTTAACAGTCAAGGTCAAAGGTAAATGGACACATCAACCTTGAAAGCTGAGCACTCTTGAGTCTAATGTGTAATCGACTATGCATTTCCATGCTACATTTGGACTTCAGTATCATATAAATGGCCACCCATTCTGAATCATTTACAACTAATACCAGATAGATGGAAATGATTTTTGATTTGTTTTGTTTTGTTTTCTATTCATCCTCCTCTGTGAAATTTCAGCACTTCTATTGGCTCCCTCTTCTCCTAGCCTAAATCAAGGCCTACTGTGCTTGTCTCAGTTATAATTATCTGTTAACTTGCCTGCTAGCCTGCAGCCCTCTCACCTTCCCATCCATCAAACTTTACCATGACGTAAGGGGGCTTAAACTACAACGTATACCTCTTCATTTCCCAGGATACCTTTCAGGCTTCCCATGTCCTATTAAGTCAAGATCTTCAATTCTTGGATGCCTCATTCAAGCTTGCAACTGAACTCCTCCCAGGACCATGACCCGGGAATGCTTTGTACATCCTGCTCTGGGATTCTGTTCTGTTTCGCCAGAAATGTCTTCTCCCATCCCTGCAGCCTGCCCATCCTCACCCTGTTAGATATTGATCTTTGCATTATAACAGTTTCTTGCATTTCCTTGCTTATAATTCTTTTTGTCCTGGACAATGCCTGCCTGGCACAGGTGTGGTGGGCACTTTGGTTTATTTGAGTAAATGAAAGAAAAGACCTTAGCCCCATCTCCTCGACAAACCTTCCCCTGACCTCAGCTCTCAAATAACTAGGAGTCTTTCCTCTTCTACACACCTGTCACCCTTTATTTCTACTTCTCATAGGTAACTTTTCACTTTCTAATTCATATCTCTCATGAAATACTATTAAGTCCCTTGAGGACTCAGTCAATAGAATCAATGATTAATTCATGTAACCTTATACAGTGTAGTGCAGGGATAACCTGCCAATATTTGTTTGACGAAAGAATACAACTTATTGTAACAATCAATGTGAGCATATTTGGAAAGTTGGAGCTGATACTTTTAAAGAGAGTAGGATTTGAGAGATTTTTTTTAAGTCGCTCTCAAGTACTTTGGATGGTGGTCAATAAATCCTATTTGTTATGATCTCGTGAATCAGCAACTTATATGTTCTTGGACTAAATCTTGGACCAGCATGTCAATTCCTATTTTTTTTTTTTGGTGGGAGTGAGGGGGGTTTGGGGATGACTATTTAGATACCAGTTTGTAGCATCTATGAACAATTGCTATTCCACTCCTTTAGCATGAATAGTACCTAGCAAAGAGGAAAATACAATTGAGATGGAAAAAATATGTAACTCAAAGAGGAAATTTGCCAATATATGATTATTTGCACACTTTAAGTCATTCAGCATGATTATTAGAAGTCCAGAGTGTCTTTTTAATTTTTGTTTGTTTTTGTTTGTTTGTTGCCTTTTGTTGTATTCTACTTGGTCCTTGCCTCTGAGATGCTGATGAATTATAATTCACATTAGTGCTCATTCTTTCTGGCTAAAGTACTTTTCAAATCAAGAATAGTTGAAGTAGATTGACCATCCTACTAAAACATGGGCTGTCTTTTTATGAAACTCCTAGAATCAACTTTGGAAGCCCAATGTGCTTCCTGACTGACAGCACCTGTGAGCAGAACTTATTTGAGGACTAGTTTGATCAGTGCTGATGAGTCTTTGTCATTTTTCTTTTAGAAAAACAAGCTATTTCTTCCCTAGAAAGAGAAAGAAGACCTCAGAGAGTAGCAGCTCACATAACAGGGACCACTCGGAGAAGCATTACATTCTTAGAACCAGGTAAGAAAAAACAACAAACAACCAATTTAGGGTTGGGATATACCTCAGTGGTAGAGCATGTGCCCAGCATGCATGAAGCCCTGGGTTTGATCCTAGCACTGAAAAATAACACCTAGCCTAAGGGTAGCCAATGGAAGCATTGTTCCAAGGAATTTAATTTGTCTAATTTCTACCTAAAATATTCATATGGCAATCTAGAAGATGCTTGTAATAATCAAGTTTCAGATTGACTATTTTCAGAAGCAAAATTACAGACAAAGAGCTCAATTACTGCTGCAGCAAAACTGGCTTCAGGGAAAATATGAAGGGAAGAATTTTGTCTTTGAAATTTCTAGGCTTCCATTTTTTGCTATTCTTTACCTGTAAAGTGATATCCTCCCTCCCCTCCCCACCTTCAATGGCATTGCATTTTCCTTTTTTGCACGTGTGTCAAATCTTCCTTTTCTTATAAGGTTCTAAACCATGTACTTTCACTATGAATCATTAGGTGCTCTAGTTGAGTCATAGGACATTGCCAACATAAGAGCATATTTCATTCACAAAAATGTCAGTTCCATACAGTTTACCTAAATCCGGGTGCTACAGTTTACCTAAATATGTTAAGTCCAGTTTTTTCTATAGGACCGGGTGTCAATGTAATACCGTAGGAAGTGCATGGTTCTGACAGTATAAATACTAAAGTGTGAATACTCAGCTCCTCCTCACCTAGATATGTTTAGAGCAAATTATTTAAGCAAGTCAAGTTTCAATGTTTTCATATGCAAAATAGAGATCATCCTTAACTCATAAAGTGGTGAAGATTAATAGTAACCATGCAAACTGTCCAGCCTACTGTGAGTACTCAATAAGTAGTCACCATTTTTTTTTTTAGGAAAGATTTTATCCCAGAAAAAGAAATTTAAGAATCACTTAAGAGATGAAAAAGCTGTTTAGGAGAGTTGTTTATATTCCTCAGCAGTTGTCCCCTTGGTATTCCTAAAATCATGTTTTAGAAATGATTGACATGTGCTACCTACAAGTAAGATTTATTACAATGTTACTGTTTGTTATCTATCAACAAATTTGATAATTGTTTTAAGCTCTTAAAAAGCTAAATTTTGCAGTAATCAGGAAGATGAAACCAAAGTTTAAAAATGTCCATATTTTTTTTTATAGAGCTCTTTTTCACTCAAAATCTTTGAGAGTTAAAGATCCAGGGATCTGAGGATCTTTAAATATAGGCTCCTTTGTCCAAATTTGTGCCTTTCTCATTTTTTAAATTAAAAATGCCTTCTGCTTGGGTGGCATCTTTGACTTTGGAGAACTGTGAAAGACCAAGGAGGAACTTAAAAAGACCCACCAGCACAGGAAAGGAGGAAAGGGGGATTAAGACAGAAGCTCTGCTCAGGAGGAAAAACTGCCACCTGAGTGGATCATGCCCTGATCCAGAGCTGAGCGTGTCAGGTGTGGTATAAGAGGTAGATGAGCTACAGTAAGGCAGGGAACTTCCAGAACATCACAATGATGCAGGAACCTCCTGCTTCCTATATGACTAGAATTTATAATCCACATAATATTGAAGGGGCAAGAAATTCGGTATTAAATTGAAATCCATTGTAAACCCAGAAAAAATATCAGCTGTGCAGAGCTGCTGGGGAAGTCCTTCCTTTGCTATAATCTCTCTTCTGTTAACTCTCTGTCTCTCATCTTCATCCAGACTCCAAGAGTGAAAAGGCTTTGGGCCAGAAAATAAAATCCTGGGAGTCATCAAGGAAGGGACATTCATTCCTGAAAAATTTGCACTTGAGGAATGGAGAACTTGTCATCCATCAAACAGGTCTTTATTACATCTATTCCCAAACATACTTTCGATTTCAGGAAATTGAAGAAACTTCAGGAATACTTTCAAAAGATAGCAAAAAGAAAAGCAAACAGTTGGTACAGTATATTTACAAATGTACGGACTATCCTGACCCTATATTGCTGATGAAAAGTGCCAGAAACAGTTGTTGGTCCAAAGATTCTGAATATGGACTCTATTCCATCTATCAAGGGGGGATGTTTGAGCTTAAGGAAAATGACCGAATTTTTGTCTCTGTAACTAATGAACACTTGATTGACTTGGACCAAGAAGCCAGTTTTTTCGGGGTCTTTTTGATTGCTTAAATGATCGGCAGAGGAGCATCGTTTGAGCCCAGGAGTTAAAGATCATCCTGGGAAATTTAGCAAGTCTCCATCTCTGAAAAGAAGGTACACAAGGCAGCAGCTAAACCAGTGTCCTCTTGGAACAAATGGAAGCCTGGCTGCGTCCCAAATGTCCACTTTGGTTTCTCTGGTGTGGGGAGACTAGGAAGGATTATACGCAGGGCCACTGAGGGATCATGGCCCC